TTTTTGTTTAAGCAGCTAACTTTAGTTCTTTCAACAGGCTTTGTTTTTTCTTTTTTTTTTTGCTTTATAAATTTCTTTACAAATTTTATGAAATTACAATTGATCAAACATTCTATTTCGTAAACATTTATTATGCAACAACTAAAAAGGCGTGCTAGGAGCTCTAAAATTTTTATAATGTATTTCGTTATTTTAAAAGCTTGAAAAAGATTAAATTCAATTGAAACAATACGACGAACGAAAATTTTATGATAAATATTACTTGATAACTATTTTTATTATTGTGAATAATTGATTTCAATACTATAAATTTTAATATTATTTTTTATTTACATTTTTTAAACTTGATGAAATTAAAATTTAATAAAATAAAAATCTTTCACTATCTTAAAATCTAAACTATTCTATATATAAAACATAATTTTTTATGAATTAATATTTTAATAATATGAAAAATACTGTAATAATAATTATGAACATAATCAATTAAGATGAAGAAACAATGCAAACAAAACATAATAAAAAATTTGAATAAACATAGAAAAATTTTTTTCAAACTTCTAAATAACCAAATAATATTAAAATGGAAAAATTATCATCAAGATATATATATATCTTCATATATATCTAAAATCAGCACGCGATATTTTTCTATTAAATATATAAATTGAATAGTAGGATTGAAATACAGTATCTTATTTTTTGTTCTGAGAATAAATTGATAAAACTGATAAAACATTGATATTATTTTATTTAACTAAGGCGTGAAAAAATCACACTTTAATAAAAATATTTTTCAGAAAGATATAGATATTTTTAGAAATGATATAAGATACTGATTTTGGAGCGTGAAATAATTGGGGAAAAAAATTTCTTGAATATTCTTACCGTCTACACCGGTTCTCATGACTGCAGGTATGGCAACTGACACAGCTTCCACGTTTCCTTTGCCAGCATTACTCGTTTCGTGTTGCATAATCGTTGCTCTGTAAAGAATATATAAAATATATATTATAGAAAATAATATGTATTTTATATATTTAAATGTTTGTGTAACAAACATTCGCAATTTTAATAACAATAAATCATTGTCACTGTTAAAATAAGAATAAGAAAGAAGATATAAAAAAACTAATGATCTATAGAAAATTTACTTCAAATTTGCTTCTCTTCTTTTTGCTTCTATGTAGAGTCTCTGTTTCTCTCTCAAAAACTCTTCCATAATAACACTTTATCATTTACAATAAAAATAAACTGGGAAATAGAAACTATCGTGTCGTCTTCACAAAATATAAATCTCAATAATCAATGAACGAAACGAAGCGACTCTCGATTTCTATCAATTCCCATTAATTGTCCTAATACGCTTCCATCAATTAACAGAATGCTGAAAATTGATACATATATATAGTATGTGATACTTACTTCAAAGGCGATACACTGTCTTCAACCATGGTTGAACCTTCATCTCCCTCGATACCAAAGTGATCTTTAGCTTTTTGCTTCTTGAGAATGATGTCGATGTAACCAGAGATTAGCTGAAGTATCTGTTCTGCTTCTGTGGTTTGCACGCTGTAGTATTGATCTGAATAATCGCCAAAGTCGAGTGTGAATGTGTTTGGAGAGGCTCCCCAACGTCGAACGGTAGTCAACGGCCATGTTTTCAAGATTTCTTTCGTTTTTTCGTCGAGTCGCAAGACGGAATCCTTAGTGACACCGAGCAAACGTGGCACCAATTTATTTTTCCCCTTCATTTTCTCTTTCACTAAGAAGAACGTGACGCCGTAGGTGCTCAACGATCTCGCTGTTCTCGTATACAACACTTTAGCATCGAGCTCGGAGAGGCCGATGTGTTTTTTGTGCTCCGCGAAAATCTTCTTCTCGATACCCTTCACCTTCAAATATGATTGTGGTAAAAATTCCTTGAGGCTAGAGAAAATAACGAGAAAACTTTGGTTAATGATATGAAGTATTCTTGTATATTCTTTTTTACATAAAAGCCAAATGAACAAATACACTTTTTACACTTTTACACATAATATTTGTTTAAAAAAATTTATTTGTTTATTTATTTATTAATGATATGAAGTATTCTTGTATATTATTTTTTACATAAAAGCCAAATGAACAAATACACTTTTTACACTTTTACACATAATATTTGTTTAAAAAAATTTATTTGTTTATTTATTTATTAATGATATGAAGTATTCTTGTATATTATTTTTTACATAAAAGCCAAATGAACAAATACACTTTTTACACTTTTACACATAATATTTGTTTAAAAAAAATTTATTTGTTTATTTATTTAGGTTAATGATATGAAATATTCTTGTATATTCTTTTTTACATAAAAGCCAAATGAACAAATACACTTTTTACACTTTTACACATAATATTTGTTTAAAAAAAATTTATTTGTTTATTTATTTAGGTTAATGATATGAAATATTCTTGTATATTCTTTTTTACATAAAAGCCAGATGGACAAATACACTTTTGACACTTTTACAAAATATTCGTATAAGAAAAATTTATTTATTTATTTATTTATTTAGAAGGAAAAAAATTCTGATCTTTTCTCAATTCCGAATCTCGTTATGTCACTTGATCATTGGATGTTTCTTTCCTTTATTCATTCTCTCGGTTATCGTTAAAATAACGTAATATAAGTCGGAATGAAAGAAATCAATATTTTCTTATCTCAAGAGAACTTACTCGAGAAAGCCTGGCTTGTGCTTGTCTTCCTTGTGATCACCGAACTGGATCTGGCATTGTATTCCAGCGAAAATACAAGCTTTTTCCTGAGTAACCGGATGCGTGCCATCTAGAATTGCGTCTCTTGCTTGAACGTACAAAAGAGATAATTGCACCGGATCTCGGCTGTCGATATTCTGATCCGAAAAGAAGAATTTTCTCCGCAGCAACACTGTTTCTGACTCGTCTATCCCTTGCTCTCGTAACGTCTTACTTGGATCTATCCAATTCACTGAAAGTGAACAAAGTGATACGTTTATATCGATTTTTCTCGTTTCACGAAAATTTATACATAAAACTTATCCTTTGAAATTTATATATATATATATTGTATATTTATTATATATATAATATTATTTATAAATATATATAATATTATATATAAATATTATTATATATATAATATATATATATATATATATAATATATATATTTTTTTAAGAATAAATTTTAAAACAATTAAATTTAATTATTATTACATTAAGTTCTATTCTTTTCCAAAAAAAAAAAAAAAGAAAAATCACAATGAAAATTCTTTCCCAAACATTTTCACCGCAAACTTCTTGTT